CTAACTTTTGTAGTTATTGCTGTGATACAGTTATTAGAACGCATATAAATGAATATTAAAAATTGATTCTTCCCCCCCCTAAGTAATAAATGATATTTTCTAATTCCATTAGTGGCTGATAGAGATGCTGTATCATCCTAAAAATGTAGATTAATTTAGGAACTTGAAAAATAATGTATACTCTTTTTTCCTTTGCAGGCAGACTGTCGGATACACTTGCAACCCCAGCTAATCCCACCAAACATGGAGGAGTACATGAACAGCCTTGTCTCAGCTGCAATGCCCTCCTTGCTGAACAAATTCCGCATATATCTAACGCTTTTGAGATTTCTTGATTATAGCATATCTGATGAAATAACCAAGGTAGTTTGGGGTAAAGGATTTCCCTGTGTTGAATTACAGTGTTTAACTAATTCACATTTGCTGTAATTACTGATAATGTAATTTTGCTATTCATTTTTTATATTTTTTATTTTATTTTTTTAATTTTTCTTTCTTGAGACAGAGCCTCAAGCTTTTGCCCTGGGTAGAGTGCTGTGGCATCACAGCTCACAGCAACCTCCAACTTCTGGGCTCAAGCGAGTCTCCTGCCTCAGCCTCCCAAGTAGCTAGGACCATAGGCGCCCGCCACAACGCCCGGCTATTTTATTTTTTGGTTGTAGCCGTCATTGTTGTTTGGTGGGCCTGGGCTGGATTCAAACTCGCACCTTAGTTGTATGTGGCTGGTGCCTTAGCCATTTGAGCCACAGGCGCCAAGCCATTTTCTATATTTTTTAATGACTTCATTGTCCTTTTTTGTTTGAAATTATTTTTATTGTCCCATTTTAATTCCCTTGAAGTTAATTTTATAATATTTTTAAGTTATTTTCTTAGTGGTTGCCCTAAGTGCTAAAATTAGCATGTTAACAATAACAGTCTATTATGGATTAATGCCAGCTTTTTTTATTTGTTTATTTGTTTTTCAGACAGAGTCTGATTATGTTGCCCTGGGTAGAGTGCTGTAGCATCATAGCTTACAGCAACCTCAAACTCTTGAGCTCAAGCGGTTCTCTTGCCTCAGCCTCCGGAGTAACTGGGACTACAGGAGCCAGCCTATTTTTTTTTTTTCTCTCTCTAAGAGGTGGGGTCTCCCTCTTGTTCAGGCTGGTCTCAAACTTGTGAGCTTAAGCAATCCACTCATCTTGGCCTCCCAGAGTACTAGGATTATACGCGTGAGCCACCATGCCCCGCTAATATCAGTTTAATTACAATGATATATGAAGACTGCTCTTTTATAGGTCCTGTTTCTTCTCCTTTGTGCTGATTTTGTCATACGATTTATACCTTTGTTCATTATATGCCCGTCAGCATGTTTACAGTATTGCTTTTACAGTTGTCTTCAAATCAGAAAACAAGAGTTGTAAACAAAAAAGATATTTATACTCTTTTTTTTTTTTGAGACGGAGCCTCAAGCTGTCCCCCTGGGTAGAGTGCCATGGCCTCACAGCTCACAGCAACCTCCAACTCCTGGGCTCAAGCGAGT